AAGGCGAGGGCGCTGGCGGGCGCGGGGGCGTGGGCGAGAGCGAAGGCGAGGATGGCGCTTCCCAAACTTTATCAATTCGCGGCGCACTTTTTAAGTCCCAAAGTTTCTGTGCCTCCGAAACTGACTTCGAAATGATAAGCACTAATTTTGTAAAAGATAACATTAATTTCAAACTGAAACACAAATGCATTATAATTTTTAATAAGCAATGTCTCTTTTCTTTGCTATCAATATAAATGTACAAGTAGGAAAGGCTGATTGCTACAAGCTCGCTGCACTGAACTTAGTCCCACAAGGCAGTGCGACATATTTAATTGATTTGGGACTACTACTTGTAGCATTTAAACTAAGCAGGCAGGATAATCAATAATAATTATAACAAGTACAATTCATTTTCTACTTTATTATCTAAATTACATTTCATTTAATCTGTGCATTAATTTACTTTTATGTGTTTCGGACTTCATCTACTATACTTCAGTGCGCTGCGAGTCACGGTTTGAGAAGCAATGCTAAGGGATTGTTTTAGGATTACATTCATGCTATGTAATTTGCAAAGGAATACTCGTGCATTTGGCGTACATGGACGTGCGTGCAAAATAGGAATGTGGTCTATATAATGAGTTTAATTTCAGGAAAAGGCAAATGCTTCCTGGAAGATTTATCTTCTTCAGGACGAAGTCAACAGCTGTTGATTCAGGCCTTGAAATTAGAATACAAAGTTCATGTATAGTAATGGAAATTTTTAAACACTAAGAAGACTCTGCTCATTCAGAAAAATAGACAAGTTTATCAGTCCCGAAAAAATAGTAAAAAAAAAGGTTGAAGAAATTCTAGACAACATTATACGCTTTTATACCATCATACAATGGGGGTGAGTATTAAACAATGAAAACATCATTTGACTCAATCGGCTCCAGTGTTTTTCAAGTAGAATTCAACTTTAACTTAAACTGCAATACTTAATCAGGAAATTTTGTAAACTGTGTCTGAGCCACTTTTTAATATTTTAAGTTTCACATCAGCGTGTTAATATTCTCAATTTTGCATGAGAATATTCTTCATACTTATTGCAGATTAATTCAATATTCAGTTTCAATGATGATTCCTAAAATTAAATTAATAAATAAACATCAATAAACATAATTGATTCATTAAAAATCTGTATCTTTTCCTTTTCACTGAATAAGCACAGTCTCAAAAGAAAGAAAAAGGCATAAAAATACTGTTTTTCATGTACATTTACATATATCTAGTATGCAATCTAAAAACCCTTATCTTCTTTATATTGTCTTTCAAAGTGCGATACGGCCAGTCGTAAGGAAAAAACTATTTACAATTAATTTTGTTACGATAAACCTAAAACCACAAACATTAAGTTGTGATAGTTCACAGTAGGGTAAAAGATGCAGGCAAAATCAAGACGAAAACAGACAGGCCTATCCCTGAGAAATAATATCCATAATGAACATACTCATTTTGAGCTAGACTGTAGACATATGATTTGATTTGTTATTGGACTGAGATCCGTAAATATACGATTACTATAAAAACCATATACATTTCACATAAAGAAAATAAATGCACATCTCCAAACAAAATAAAAAGTGTGAATCAAAAACGGGGATGTAGAAAACCTGTACAATATCATAAAATGAATAAGTCTCTTTTGTTTCATTTCGGAATGACTATGAGCGACATAATAGTAGTTTATGAAATTACTTTATAATATTAAATTGTATTGTATGAGAACACGCTTTTGAAAACGAGCGACGTTTGGAGCGAGTTTTGAAATTTGTTTGAATGCAATAAAGCAACATTATAAACGAGTTGCTCATGATAGTTTTTGTATAAGAGCATTATAAATTTATAAGAGAATCCAACTTAATTTTGCGAAACAACTTTCTTGTGACGTCTCGTGTATTTGACATCTGTGCGAGAAAACTGTGGTCAGCTTTTCCTTTGACCTCTATCACCCCACAACTCTCTCGTTGCGATTGGCTGAATGTGTGATGTCATAATTTTTGCCGTAGAATGCCCGATTATGAACGCTTTCTTGCAACAGAAAAGGTCGTTTATAACGCTGATATACGAAAACTTTTTAAAGCTGTAATGCATAAATTTTAAAGGATTATTTGAATTATGGAAGTGAATGACTGTATTTCCAGTATAGGCTTTGTGTAATAATGGCGAATTCCGATAGCTATTTTGCAAAGTGTCAAAAACAGAAAAAACTAATGTTTAGTGATGATTGCCCTACATTTTTTAACGATAACATTACATTGCAAGTTTATTTAGTCAATAATAGGAGACAATAGCTAAACTCAATAACAGGAGACAATAGCATTTATCGCAAAACCTATTATTTAATTTCGTAATTATTGAGTTGCCAAGAAGAGAATTCGTTATTTTAATACCTTCACTGAACAACTGCTGACGTATTTTAATGGGGTGAGGTGACCCAATAAAAAGTGGGAGACATTCAAAAGGCAACTGTTCTGAATAAGTCTCATTATTTGCAGATTAACCGTTTTTGAGGCAGATGATTCAATTCTCGCATTGAATACAG